CTGACCAGTTTCTGTGCAATGTCGTGTGAAATTGTGAGGCACAAATTCGCTCTTTGTTTGGGATTTGTGTGGATTAACCAACAGATTTCCCCCGTGTGATAACATCCTATGTTTTGCCTTGTGTGATAGAGTCCTCTTGCATCCCCCAGCGTACCTCTGCCATTGCTCTGGCATGCATGCTTGGAGGAAAACAAACTCATAGATTAGTCATGCATTGTCCTGATGGAAGGTTCCATGAAGCTTTTAGATTGTGATGCTAAAACATTAAGGCACTATCATATTGTGATGTTACGATGGCACAACAGAAGGAGGGTTTTTAAATTAAATTGAATTAAACATGCCACAAAAGCTGTCTTTCCCACCCAAGCACTGGAAGTGGTCTGTGGATTACTTGCACAGATCTCCTGGGGAATCTTTGAGAAATGAATTAGCGCATCACACACATCCCACCCACATCCCACCACTAATAGAGTTTTCAAGAAGGATGTGCAATGGGTGTCCTGCAGCACAAAAAGTTACTGTTTAGTGGCAAGAAAGGGAGTCATTAACCAATTATTTCCAACATGAAAAAATTGCACATTTGCAATGATGCTATGATGGGATGCCATCAGGACACCAATGACGTAAGGCATAGTTGGCAGTACCAATACATCACTATGATGCTATAACAACATGGTGTGATAAGGATCTAATGGGTCAGTTTAAGAGTTATACCTTACAGGGACCAGTTTGTCTTAAAGGTGATACTGGATTTATTTGTTCTTTTTTAATACAGCTTTCTTTTTATAAACTACCTTGCTATTTTGGAATTTAACACTGGGACTAGCAGGAGTGTGAGTAAAAGGGGGCAGAAATAAACAGAGGTTCTCATCTGTCATCCTGGTACATAGTTTTGCTATTGTGATTTTAGAAAAAGAAAGGGGGGGGGCATAATAGATAAAATCCAATTATTGATCCCAGCTAGAAAAGGCTTATTAAATGAATGGGAGCTTGATAAGTCAACAACTTTTACAGCATACCCTAAAATGTCCTGATTTCACAGGAACAGCCTCCAAAAATCCATATTTTCAGCTGCTTTTAAAATATCCCACTTTCCCCCTTTGTCTCCAGCTTACTTGCATTGCTGCAAACGTAACTACACTGAGGTTGCTTGGACACACATGTCATTATCTGTTAAATGTCAGAGGGTATATAATTAAATAAATTCAGTATATCTGTTCTAGTTCAGACTGACACTTCTAGGACAATAATGCCTCAGCAGGGCCAGCCCTGACATTAGGCAGAGTTGAAGAGGCAGCCTTAGGTGGCAGATGGTGGAAGGCTACTGCTAGAGGAAAGGATTGTATGTGTCATGGAGACTGCCCCTGTACCACTAAACTAGCCAACTATCCAGAAGTGTGGAGCTGAAATTAGTTTCTATTGTAACTCCATCAGCTGCTAGTTGTGGAATGGAGGAAAAGATATAATCTTGTTGTTCACATCGGGCAGCAAAACCTGTTGGGTCAGTTATGAATATGAGGAGGAAGAGGAAGGAGGAGTGGGGAAATAACCCCTGAATGTGCTGGCTAGAGTATCCTGGGAATTGCAGTCCAAAAAAGGAACTTTGCCAAGCTTTGGTTAGAAGTGGTGAGCTGGAACAAAGCAGACCAAGATTTTATCAGGGATGGAAAAGCAGGCTCTCGCTATTTTAATAGAGTTCTGTAAATCTAGTCTAGACAGCACTCTCAATGTTATACTGTAAAAATAATCCGATAATGGCACAGGATCAAGAAAATTCTTTAATGAGCATTTTCCATCTCTCCTTTTTTTGTTGGCTGTGTTTTATTGTTACTGCCCATGGTGTGGGGTGGGATTATTTAGGACACTAAATAATCAGATCTGTAAAATGTGGAGCCAGCATACACAAATGTGGGTTTTTAAGATACTTTTTAAAAAAACATTTAAATACATTTTAGGCCAATCTTTCAATTCCCAAGATGTTATGCTGTGATAATAAACATGGTGGGGGAAGTGGGGCTGTAACAACAAGAGCTCTTGGTCCAGCACAAAGCAGCATTCACTCCCATTCTGTTAAAATCAATAATGTTTGAAACACACACAGATCTCCATGAGATCACAGCTAAAAGGTGCTCAATATAATAGCAGCATGTTCTTTTAATGGTGTGTGCTTATCCTCAAACCTGAATACTGAAGGTAAGTAATGGGCTGATATCTTTTAACTGCACCAATAATAAAAAGGAAATATTGTTCAGCTGAGTAACAAAAGGAATAAAATGAGTGCTTTCTATACATGAGTTTTGTTGTTGGGTGCTTTCAAGTAATTTCTGACTTACATTGACCCTAAGGCTAACCTATCACAGGATTTTCTTGGGAAGTTTTGTTTAGAGGGTGTTTTGTCATTGCCTTCCTCTGAGGCTGAAAGAGTGTGGACGTTATCACACGGGGTCTAAAGCAGTGCCATCCCCGGCGCATTGCGGCATCATTCCGGATCCTTTGCCTCTGTGTTCACACGACGTCGCAGCAAACCCCGCCCCATCCAGTGCCATCCCTGGCACATTGCGGCATCATTCCGGATCCTTTTTTCGTGTGTTCACACTACGTTGCAGCAAACCCCGCCCCATCCCGTGCCATCCCCGGCACATTGCAGCATCATCTCCGTTCTTTTCAATTCCTTTTTGAAAAAGGAATTACACTTGCCGTGACCAGAATCAATCAAGAATCATACCGGAATGATGCTGCTTTCTTGTGGGGTCCATTCCGGTATGGTTCTGGATTGATTCCATGCCGCTTTCTTGCCGCTTTGAGACCCCGCGTGTGATAACGTCCTGTGACTTGTCTAAGGTGGGTTTCCATGGCCAAGCAAAGATTCAAACCCTGGTCTCTTGATTTATAGTCCAACAATCAAACCACTATACCACACTGGCTCTCATACATGAGCTGCCTATTCCCAATTTTAATGTATGCTTAAGGAGAGGGCATCTCTCTTAGGACGTTATCACACGTGGACCAGAAAGTGATAATAAAGTGGAAA